AATATGTTAAAAAAAAATTGAAGCGAGATCTAGGAAAACGGCAATTTTAGTGCCGGTGTTGTCCTAAGACTTTTGCACAGTCACGTGTGTACTTTAAAAAAAATGCCTTGAGCTATCTTTTTTTTTAAAGTGACACTAATCTTTAAATAGTATTAGTGTCTTTCCTGTGAGAACGTTCCAAGGGGTATTTGCTGAGACGAGAACCAGAAACTTCGAGAATGTACTTCCGGTCAGGATTCACAGATGGACATTAACCAGACAACCTCACAAGATGCATTAACAAAATCGAAATAAAATGATGGTTCAACATACGGTTCCGCGTATTAACCCACATACTCCTCCAATAGCTGATTGGGACGTCCACGAGCGTTGTGTTAATTAGAGTCCATTACGTGGATCTCCTCCTCCTTGCAAGCTGTCACTAATGGAGGCGAATGACAACATAAACAGAGCGTTTGTCTCCATGATAGACACTCACTTCCCCCTGGTCCCAGCGTTCGCCGTGCACAGCGGTGCTATAGTGTAAATAGAGCTGGCGACAGGACGGCGGTGCCTGAGGACGCAGGCCGGACGACGGCAGAGTGCAGCGATCGCTATCTGCATGCCTCCAAAGATAGCAGGGCTCATCGGAGTGAGGTGGCGTCCTCCGGACAAAAGGCTCCCATGGCAACCGCTCCAAATACTTAAAACACACACACACGCACAGGAGCACTTCATGAGGGCTGAGGGAGCTTTTACCCATCAGGGGTCATTTTATTAAGTCCTGAGATGGCCATGTTGTCTGTAGCTCTGTGCAATGCTGTGAATTGGGAATTTCTCCATTGCAAGACCAATAAAGGTTTTCTTATCTTATATTTTAACAAAAGAAAGAATGCACCTTTTATCCCATACTGTATGTATTTGATACAATTAGCTTTATTTATGTTAGTAAAGCAGTCGCAGCATAACACACACACACACACACACACACACACACACACACACACACACACACACACACACGCACGCACACACTCTTCTATTTCAATATTACATGTAGCTACACTGTAAACCCGAATTAGTTAGCTGAACTAAAAAAAGTGAGGCAATAAATTGCCTCACTTTTTTTGAGTTGGTGAACTCAAAAGTTCTAGTTCTCTGAACTTCAATGTTTCGATTACGTCCAACTTATATTTTTTGATATAGTTACTCAAAAGCTTTCAGTTAGAGTAACTCAATTGTTCTATGTTACTTACTTAGAAATTTTAGTTTTCAAAACTTAATTTATGAAGTTAACAGAACAATCTCTAAGTCTTAGAAAAGTACACAAACACCATTTTATGTTAAGTAAACCCAATTTAGAACTGTGTTGGTACACTATTACACAGTACATTCATATTATACTTCTAAAATTGCATTCAGTGTGTACATGAATTTATTAGCATATTTGTACACGGAATCAAAAATGATGTATATTTATCTGCTGGTCAGGTCAATATTTGAAACTATTTTATTATCTTTATTCCTCTTCTTCAATGTGTATTATCACTATTATGCATACATGGTATGGAGATGTGTTACACACTGAACGTATGGATTGTACTTCATTATTATATTGAAATATATCACCATCAATATTATACATCCCACTCTGTCCTCGTTGCACAGAAGTTACTGTGGCATAATTAGACTGTATGTATTACTTGTACCCACATGCAAAATTTTCCAGCTTGAATTTCAACATTTTCTGTTCAATGGCTTTGACTTGGTCAGGTCACTGTGCTATAAATATTTAAATACATTTTTAAAATGCATTTACATAAAATGCCCATGCTGATGTGGCTGCAACATTTAAAGAAGGTTTGTGTAAAACAAATACTTGATGTTTCCGACTGTAGATTGCAGGTGTTCCAATTGGTCCTCAGCAGATAGGGGGCGGGACTTTGGATAAACAGGGGTTCATGGTGAAATCCTGCTGGTTTGACTTAATCTCATGTGAATACAGTTTCACCCAGGAAGATCTTTAGGCTAGTTCCAGAAACATTTAGCAGATAACATCAGTACACTAGGGAATGTAAACATTTACAGTGAAACCTCAAGACCTCTACACTTAACTATATTACCGCCCCTATGGGGATGTCACATCCATCACAAGGCAAGCAAACCATCGCTGCGGCCTCTCCTATTTCTCCAACAGATGACTCCTTTCCACACAATTTGAAGCGATATAATCAAGACTCTTTCTTGTCTCTGCCATCAAGACAAATCACAGTTGTATGAACAAACAGGTGAATATCATGAAACAACCTTTCTGCATCTCCAGCTTTTGCTGTTCAACCGATTGAAAGAGTTCAGACTCACTAAGGCAGAACAAAAGTAAACACACGGATGTCTAGGTTGTGTTTGTCTGAGGGGTCAAATGGGACAACAAGTCTCCAAAAGCTCCAAAGTACTCTTCAAAGCAAGCAGAAATGACCAATCGAAATGTTTGAATGGGGAGGGATTAGCTCAGAAGGCTGAATATGAAACGGTCACCCATTTGAAGGGACTGACTGATAAACTGGCGATTCAGACCCCATTTCCTGTCATGCACTCCCACATTCTGTGCCTCAATTGAATTGGCTTTTTAAAAAAATTCTTTGAAAAGGTGAAATGGCATGACTAGCCACAAGCCACATTTTGCTCTAACAATGCAAAAAAAAAAAAATGGTTTGGAAGGTTTCCTTGGCCTCCTAGTTGGAAAAGGGTCCCCCATCAGGAAATGTGATTCCGCCATGGACCTGAAAAAAAAGAAATGACAAAAAATGAACCTCGATTTAATTGGATTATAATACCATTCATTAATCTGACCACATTTGGTTTTTTAATGTATCAGGGCATACCTACCAAGTTAGAGGGATCAGGCAGCACCCGCCAAACCACCTCAGACTTGAAAAAGTGTGCGGATTTTTGAAAGACCTGAGCCCCCATGGAGCCAAAACTGACTTAAGGACAACAAATGGCAGAAGATGGATTCCAACATCAGTGGGATTTTAATTCTTGGGTCCGACTCGGGGCTATGGTATTTGGAAAGGTTTTAACATTTTAAGCAGGAAAAGACGCCGTGGCAGTAAAGATAGACCACTCAAAACTTGAGATTTTGTGTCATATTTGTGGTCTTTAAGGCTTTTGATTTATCGTTTTATACACTCTCCTGGCCCTCATGTCTACACAGCGGTGCTTGAAAAATGGAGCCTGAGGAATTGAGGATTTTTGTCATTTTTGGGCTCCGACCAGAGCTTTAGATGTGGGTTTAGGTATTCCTAACTCTCTTTGCTGACTGAGTAGAACAGAATCACAACCCCCCCTGGAAGCTCGACATTGAAACACAATTGTGCTGAACACCTGAAAAAATGTCTGAATGTTTGCAGGAAGACTCTGCCTGACAGAAAAATGTCCCGAGCAAAGTTTTGTGTTACATGTATGAACTGATTTTTTTTTTTTTTTATTCAGGGTAGCGAGACAATGTGGGAGTCAATAAGGTTGCAAAGGTGTCATCAAAGCAGTTAGAGGTGACAAGAACTGGAAGGCACAGCAGCTCAGCTAATTTGACAGAGGACAGCTTCCTTTTCAAGATCAAGTTCTAAAGGGTAGGGAGGTCTGTTTCCTCTTCAGTGTCCCTGACTGCACCTGTGTTGCACACACACACACTGCACTTGGCACACGAGCGTGGACGTACACAGGAGCTGCGTGCTGGATCTTAAATTCCAGTCTTGAAGTGTTCCAATGAAGATTTAATGACCTCGCGCACGTTTTCAAAGAGAAAAGAAGCATGGGTGTGAGAGAAAGTGGGGGACACCTGCCTTCATCCAGAACGTTGGTGCAATGTTACACACGCTCCCCAAGGGTTCACACTCCTGGAGGCCAATATTACAGAAACGTGTGATTTTGGGGGTGGGGGAATCATCTTTTGATGAAACTGCAGAACATTTTGGATATAACTTTTTTTTTTTTTTTTATAAAACGGCACTCTATAGGTCAAGGAGGCCAGTCAAGGAAGAACCGAAACAGAGGAAGAGATTCATATTCTAAAATTGCCTTAGTGTGTGTGTGTGTGTGTGTGTGTGTGTGTGTGTGTGTGTGTGTGAAAATATGAACACATCCACAGGTGCTCGCTCTCAGGGATTTTGAGGGGAGGTTTGAATTTCCAAAACACAGGCTCATAAGCGTCCACAAGGGAGTGTGTGCAAGTCCATCTGACAGCCCTTTGTCAACACTTGGGACTTTTTCAACGAAGATACTGTACATAAATATGTGTGTGTTTCAACGAAAAAAATACATGGCTTTAGATTACATGAGATACCAGGCCGCATTGGAAATTTGACAAGGTATTTGTCAAAATCTTCTTAAACTGTGTATTGTGCTGTAAATATAATTACATATCAGCTACACTGAGGACTTAAACGCAGCCTTCAGCCTCAGGAAATATCGCTCAGGCTGAACAGCCTCAAAAGAGGCCTCGGCATTCATTTCTAACCAAGTCTGGTTGACGCTCTGGCATACAAAGGACAACTTGATCAATGACATAAGCAAGCACCTTATTTTCATCCAGCTTGACATTACGGTAATTGGTATTTTCCGCAGATACCTGACAATTTATATTTTATGATAATCTAAAATAATTATCATGGCCAGTTTGAAGTCTGTCTCGTATGATTGAATAGTTCCCTTCATCCCTCGACATTGTGTACCTGCTGAGTTTCACTTCGTTTCTTTGCACTGAAGACATACTTCATCATGCACCATTTGGCAAATTCCACAGCTTTGTCTTGTTCATTGTTTTTTTCTTTATGCATGTGTAGTTTCAGTCTTCGGGTGAAAGTGCACCTGCACTAGTGAAGACTAAACAACTTTACCTGTCAAACTAAAACGAAACATCACTTTGATGTTCCACAGGAATCTTTCTATATCACACTAGTATAGTTTCAATGCACGCTTGTTTGACCAGAGATAAAGCATTAAGAAAAAAATAGCAACCAAAATGATTTGGGATGATTTATGAGCACTGTCCACAGCTCACAATTTATTATTTCATGATGAGTGCAATTCAGAATCAGTTAGAATGACAGCTTCCATTTACTCAATGTGGGTATGATAGCAACATTTTCCACCATTGCTTATTGAGCTGACTCTTGGTTTTTGGGGCGCGGCCTATTCAATTCCGTGTAACCTGTACCATCAAAGAAGAGGACATTAACACACTCAGTAGTAGCAGTGACAGAAACTAAGATCAGTCTCAGAACAGCCGTCTGCAAGACAAGGCAATAATGGTGAATAGCTGACAAGTACGAGGGGGGTGCCAATGGAAGCGCCACAAAGCAAATTATGCCAACAGGCGATGGATCACATTTTTATGTGGGAGAAATTGAGGATAAATTAAATATAAGCTTGAGATTCATGTAAAGTCTAGCTGTGGATTAAAAAAAATAAACAGAGGGCGGGCAAATAAAGGGGGGGGGGCCCTCATATTTCAATGCAGATTTGGTTATAATCATTTAAATGACTGTTTGCAGGATTCCAGTTTCCCCCATCATTTTGAACTGTAAATTTGAAGAATCAATTACAGTACACATTCATGTGACTGAAAATCCTCTTAACACCAAATTTGAAATATTGGATGTGTTAAAAAAAAAAAAAAGAAGCTGATCCCAAAACAAGGTTATTAAAATAACACTACTGCCCTCCTCTGGTGACAACCCGTGGCCTCTACTTGAACAATTCGAATACTGTGACATTTCTTTCACCTAGCAACATAAATCATAATGTGCGTAATCAGCAAACGGCATTTTAAAAACTCTTTCCAGAAAGGCCTGTCTGGCCAATGGGACAGTGGAGATGGGGTGATTTCATGTGCTGTGCGTTATAAGCTGGCTTCACCTCGCGCCGTCTACATCTCCGCCTCCATCTGCTGCGCTCGCCTCTTTTCGAGCTGGTGCTTGGTGAGTCCGTACTTGAAGAACTCGTACACAGACCAGCTGATGGCCGTGGAGGGCATCTGGTAGATGACTCTCGCCTGCACTCCCTTGAAGTAGCCCCGCAGGCCGCCCAGCCTGTAAACCGTCCGGAAGGCGTGGGCCAGGCCCGTGATATGTCTGTGGGCTCCTTGGTTGGCCGAGAGGGAGCTGAGGGCGAGCGACTCTTGGGTGTTGAGGAGGGTCTTGCACACGTCCAGCGGCGTGGTGGCAGCGGCGGCCAGGGCCCCGGCCAGGGCCCCGGACAGCATGTGGGATGAGGGGTTGTATTGTCTGTGGGGGTTGAGCAGCTCCTGCAGGTATTCGTAAGTCATGAAGTGGAGCGCTTGGAAGGGTACGTTCATAGTCAGCTGGGTGGTGTAGCTGCGGTAGAATGCGCGGGGGCCTTCCTTCTTCCACACAGCGCGTATACAGTCCAACGCGCCGCGGTACGGGGAGTTATACATCTGCATGCGCTGCTTCACAACTAGGGAGGACCACAAGGATGTCCGGGGGTGCAGAGGGTTGAGGGAGACAGTTGAAGACCGGGGGGGCGGGAAAAAAAAAGAAGAGAGAAGTGAATAACCTACAGAAAAGTCACTAGTTTCTGTCGGCATGTGTTCTCAAGAATGTTTGTTTTTCTTCCACTGGCACTTCTAATTCCCTCACTTCAAACTTTTTGCAGTTTTGGAGCTCTCTCAAATTTTCCATGGTGAAAACCAATCAGCACTACCGAAAATGTAAAACACTCTTTTACTCACAGTGGTCTCCACTACTTTCACATGTTGCAAACAGTGAAACGAATTTATTAGAGTGAGGGAATACGCAATTTAACACAAACTATTTGGATCTTAATAGGGCTGAACAATTTTGAAGAACAAATCGAATTGGAATTTAATATCTGATTATCCTTTCAAAGCCCTCTTTCGCTGATTAAATTTTTTTTTTAAACAATTGATCCCACCCCCACAACTGTTCCTTGATGTGATAAATCACCCAATGATATTACAGAATTTTGAGGTTTTGTGAAGTCCTGTACCTTCTGATGGGTTCATGGCTGCATCGTGAAGCAGCGTGGCCACACATCCGGCTGCTCCTGCAATTAACACGACTCAGACATTAAAATGATCTCAACTAACTGGGGAGCATTCACAAGGCTTACTGACTGCTGGAAAGAAGTTCGAAAGTATCAGTCGGGAACCTTCGCTAATTAACAAACAAAGCATTGTTTTGCGTGACTCAGCAAGTTGTCTGGTCATGAGTGACATCTAGTGGACAACAGTGTTCATTGATACACTCGGAGGAAAAAAAAAAAAAGAAGTGAAGAGTTATTTGGAGGGGAGAAAGAGGACTTACCCAGCCTCCCAATACTCTGGAAAGAGGTGAGAGAGACAATAGGGAAAACATAGAAAAAGTAACAATAGCATTCAGTATAAGGATGTCCACGCATGGGAATTGAGTCAAATCTAGCTGGAATTTAGTTACTGACAACGGTTGCAATGAAAATGTTTTGTCCAATCAGATGCCAGCGTGTTATTGCATGTACTATTGAGCCTAGATCGCAAAGGGACTTGGGTATAAAAAAATCAGTATAGTTATGTATCATCATATAGCACGGCCCATTTGTAAAATCGTTAAGTTTTTTGGTACCATTAGCCAAATGGCTGTTAGCGCCGGGGTGGATCACATCACTCAGAGTCTTTTTGAGTTTCTCATAGCTGGCAAAGTACAGGGCATGGGCAGGCCCCGCCCCGATGGCGGTTACGTTCAAGCCTCTCATTGGCCGCCACGCTCCCTCCGTTGCCACGATACGGCGGAGGGCATCCATCACGTTCCGGTAACGGGCGGCCGGGTCGGGCTGGAGGCTCTGCATTCTTGTCTGGCGAGGAATCAAAATGGGGCAAAGTCAACAATCGCAAAGCAATGAAAGAGCCTCGTGAGCAAATAATGGTTGGAATAGGGCATGTGGAACGTGTCGGTGTACATGCATTATTGAATAGAAGGAAGCGCGAAGTTACAAGATCCAAGGTCACGAGGACACAGAGTATATCCTGCCTGTGTTCCCATTGACCCGAGATCGCAACTTTCTTTGTGTCCGCAAATGTAAACAGCGATAAATTAATCTATGACCGAGTCAATCATGCGCTCCCGAGTATAAAATATAAAAGTTGCAAATGGGAAACGAGCAGTGACATAATCCCCCTAACGGCAGCGTTCCGGCCGAACGGACAATCTTCTAACTGACCTCCGGTCTGTGTACACATGCAGGGGGCTTGGGCAAAGAATAAACACGGCCTCATGAGACCTTGTGTCATCAGGAATGCAGGGCTAACCGAGCTAGGCAACGCTGCACACATTGGCACAGTGAGTGAGACATGTGGCGTGTTCTCGGTTTACAGTGGATCCCAAATGGCGAGCAATGAACTTGTTTGTTTAAGAATATCAGGGGTCAACGACCTTTTTAAAACTGAGAGCTACTTGGGCACTGATTAATGCAAAGGGATAACACACTTCTGAACTGACAATTTTGCTCAAATTACCTTTGATCATCTTATTAATAATTAATGATATTACTCCATGACAAGACACTAATCGTGTTCCTCATTTCTCACAATGATTATCAACAATGATCTAACATGATAAAAAATACGAAAATATCAATAAGAAGCGTTTTAATTCTATCTCTCCCCTCACTTCCTAGAAAGTCACAATGTCCCATCTATTGGTGAGCCACCATTTGTACAACAGGCTCACAAGCTACTCATGTGGTCCATTAGGGGCTAACTGACGCCCGTGGGCGCCATGCTGGTGATCCCTGTCATGTGTCACAGGAAGGCATGCTCGATTACCACCAGACTTACTGTTTAATTTGATTATTTTATATTTATGGCCTGGGTAATGTTTTCCATACACTTTTTCTCTGTAATTATCAGTTCACCACTACTTTAGCGTATACCGACGGCAAAGCAGGATGACACTTTACAATGTAGATTAATGCTGAGTGTAAAAATAACTTGAACGACTTTTTAAAGGCAAGTTAATTAAATATTCATGAATTGTCAAGGGAGGAGCCTGATTTCGAGCAATATAAGGCGAGGTTCCAAAAAACACAAGGTGTTCACAAAATTTCAAAAAAGGTTCAACATTCACTGCAAGTACCTGGTTCAGACGGATTTGTATGAAGCCCCCTTCTAAGTCAGGAATATGAAACAAATGAAAAATTATGAATGTGTTAACTGAACGAATGTGACGCTGTATTATATTGTGACAGGGGTTGAGGAGAATCAAACTCCTCTTTTACCTTTCACTCATTATAACAAACACTGGTCATGTCTAAAAACGTTATGACTGAGAGACATACAGACAGACAGACAGATAGATCGATCGATAGATCTGTCTGTCTGAATCTAGCTAGGTAGCACCTCAAAAACGACAACAATAAACATGAGCGCAGACTCAGTCCGTGCAGGCTGTGCGAGAAGACTACAGGTGTTCAAGACGTGGATGAAGGGTGGGCGTGTGAGCTGCTTTTCAGTGTGACACAGGCAGCTGGATGTCCAAAGCTTATTTTGTGTCATCTCTCCAATGCAATGATCAAGAACAACTGACTGACCTTGAGGTCAAAAGGTCTCGACTCCCCCACCAATACAACAAACACTGCGATTGCAAAAGTGTCCTCAGTGTGCAAATGGGAATAAAAGACTGCCCTATAACCCTGCTGTGTTGGTTGACAGAGTTTAACACTCATTTATCCTGAGTCGTGTGACAAGAACAAGTGAAATGTTACAGGCTGTTCTAAGAAATCTATCTGGATAAATGATGAACAATGTCATCATTCAGTACATGTAACTTGCCAAACTTAAGGTGTGCTACATGATACCACTTACAGACACTGCCACAGTTGCCACTTACTGTATAAGATGATAAATAACAATTATACCCACTGACCTCGTATTCAAGAGATGAACTTAGAATACCATTGAACCTGGAACCATTGTTAAAAAATATTTTACTCGCCTTGATGACACGGAACTTTTGAATGATAGTATCTAAATTTTTACTTATGCTTCTGTGTATCTATATGTTGTTTTGTTTACATTGTCTATCCTATTAGTCTATTCCTTGGACGTAGTGTGCAAATAAAGCTGGTTGATTGATTGGTAGCTCTGTGGCTCAGACATCGCTGACAAACCAACTGTTGACTCATGTTAAGCAACTTTTTCAAAATTCAGTTTCCCTCCAAATAAACGCGTAAACATTGGTTACGAAACAGGCTAATCGAGGTTTTTAATTGAATTTCGAACAAATGAGACGCCTAATGGGGGACTCTTGTTCAAAAGCTGGCTAATATGAAAAGGTACCTAACGAGCAAACGTTGGGTAACTGGTTCAGATTAGCATGCGTTACCTAGGAGAAGCTAACCGCTGACCTTGTGCTCAGATCTGACGCGGGTTTGGGTTAGCATGGGAGGCTAACGAGCTATGCTAACGGCAACGGAATTCAATCAACATGCATTCCGCAGAAAAAAGGCTAAATTGTGCAGCTCGTTATCTGCCACCGAGCTTGGCTACCTTGACACAATCGATGGGGAACATGAGGCAGTGCTCCATGATCCCGGCCACGGCTCCGGCCAACATGTGCGTGCTCGTTGAGGCTCCCTGTGGCAAGCCCTCGTAGTCTGGTTCAGTGTCATCTCTTTGATCCTGTGCATTGCGGGTGAAGTCACCAGTCTGTAGTTCCGTCTCGCCTCCAATCCTCGGCGACAGGCTACCCACGATACTTTCCGATACTCCCAAGAACCTGCCCCCCAGCCATCGAACTTCTGCCCCGGCTGATGCGCCAGCAACCCCGGGATCGTTGCCTGCAGACTCCGCTGTCATCCGACGCCTCCTTACAAATCCATCCGCTTCCATGAGAAACCGAGCGACTGGAGGAAGAGGGTTGTTCGGGTACGCACAAATGTCTTAAAATGTAGAACTCCGCTCCGAAGTTTTGCATTCCCTTAGGTGGGTTTGGTAGCTACTTGCACCGCTACAGCATTCCCACCCGCGTCGTTACTTCCCAACCGCAGCCAAGCAAGGCCGCGGAAGGACGAAAGCACACGGAAACACGCCATGGCCCAAAGGATGAGGATGATTGGCTCTGAGAGGCATGTCCTCCGCGCGCTATTGGCTGAAAGACCCATCATTCAAAATGGTCAGCGCAAGTCCTCCAGGTTAAGTAATTGTTTGTGAACGTCTGTTTGGATGTTTTGCCTTGTTTGTCATTGGTCTGTGCGTTTCTACCCATACGTTTGTCCACTTTTCATGTCGTTTTGTTATATTTGTATGCTGAAAACATTTTATAAGTTAATGAACCACCATCATATTTAATTAACTTATAACTGTTTTAGTGTACAACATGCCATGCCAAAATACAAACGTGTTTTCGCAGTCGATGTGACGTAACATAGTCAGATCAAAATTGGGAACGTTTGCGTGCTCGCACGTGTGCATATGAGTGGTGTTGATGTGAAGTGAACGCCTCTTTTACCTTTCACTCGTTATAACAAACACTGGTCGTGTGGAAAGGGTTTAAAAAGACTTCAGTCAGTCAGTCTGGAAGACAGACAGACAGACAGACAGACACTTTATTCATCCCTTATAAGTTCTCATTTAAACGTGAGTTTCACCAATGCAATTTACTGATGTCATGGCCATTTCTTCTTGAGGCAGACGCCCATTACATGAAGATAAGATATTTATATGTATTTATGTCCTCTGTTAGTTTATATTAGTCACCCAGGCTGGTCTTTGTCAAGCTGTCAGCATAGACCATGTGATTCAAGTTCAGTGTTTATTTAGTTTGTTGCTCTTCCTTGTTTTCCCTTCAGTATTTTGCTTGTTCAAAGTCTTGGCAGGATGCTTGTTTGTTCTACCTGCTTCACATTATTTTGCTTCAGTCATTTACAGGGAAACACAACATCATTGGTGGTAATTTAAATGTGACTTGAAATGGATGCGACGCTCCTTATTGTGAAGCAGTAGAATCCCTGAGCTAATCAGTGAAGAAAAGTGCTCTACTTTTACAATGATATATAAATGTCAGGGGATTTGAATTCAGGTTCTGACTTTCCTGTGTGGAGTTTACATGTGAATTTGGGTGAATTTGTTTGTCTCAAACAATGAATGTCTTGGGCCATTATTTTGAGAAAGTGATGATATAATGAAGTGTATTTCATTTATTTTATTTTTTGAAATAAAGTGCTCTTGCATTATCAGAGTACTCTTTTGCTGATTTGAATGATTACAGCTTCATATAACTCTATGATATAATTAAGAATACTTCAAGATGTCAGTCCATTGACTGCAGGCCATCTGTTTCTCAGCCTGGAGGGAAAGAAGTTCTTCTTCCTCCCCAGCAAGGAATTGCTTTTGTGTTTTGCTGTGGTGCTGTTATAATAACATAATTTAATTTTCTCCCTTAATGCCTGAGAGAGCCTTAGCAGCCTGGAGTGTTGAATTTCTGCCGACAAAGGGGAATGAAGTGTTAATTTCTGCTTACAAGAACAAAAACTCCCGCTTGTGATCTTGTTACGGACGATTGAGCGTCGTCCGCAGACGTTCCTTAAAAGAAAACCGAAGCGTTCAGCCAGTCAGGATCATTTCTCTTGCCTGCCCTAATACACCAAGGGAGAAGGGTGGTGGCTCGGGGGAGAAATCCTAGAACGCCCCCAAGACCTCATTTTACTCCCACAGCCAACAGAATGAACCATCTATGCAACCAAGAAGAATTATTTTACACTTATGTAAGCAAAATACAATCCAGAATTCCCCATTATGAGGAATAGATTACATAGTAATGTCCTATTGTTTTGGTCTCAAGTAAAACTATTCCTTCCTCATACCCTCGTGATCTTCTCCCTGTGGACTGATGATAATGATGATGATGATGATCTATGGCTTTTCACCGAGACCAATCTTCAGGAGGAGTAATGTCTGAAGAGCTCCTCTCATCACTCTCATGACAATTAACCAGGCCAAGTACACTAAAGGTAACGTACGCACAAGAGAAGTCAGGAATACAAACCTTCTCTTTCAGTACCATGAGCAAGTGTCGTACATTCCAGCATTAAGTACTCTGTTCTCAATAATAGCGTTGTTACCTCCGAATGTTTGTGGCAACGCATCTTCTGTCTATCCATTGATATGATTGTATCGTATTTATTGATGATGTGACTGCCGACAAAAGCAGTGGGAGGAGTTCTGAATTGTTTGAGGCAATATCTGCTCATATTCAGCAGAATACTTCAGAATTCATTGGACGGCGCTTCACATTACAGATGGACAATGATCCGTAGCCGACTGCGAAAACATCCAGTGTTTTGTTTTAAGCCAAAAAGTGCAAATCTATGCAATGGCCAAGTCCATCTTCTGCCCTGAGTCCGAATGAGCATGCTTTTCACTTAATGAAGACAAAACTCAAGGGAAAATGCCCCAAGAAGAAGGAGGAATGAAATAAGAGTTGAGGCCTGCAGGGCAGAGCATCACCAGGAGTGGAATCCAGCATCTGGCAGAGTCCATGATCTTTTACTTGCTATCTGTTGTTATCTGGATTATTTAGCCTTATATAACTGAGAACATATGGTAATGTGATAAAATCATTATGATATTTTGCCAGTGTTCATGATAGTATTAAAGTATTAAGTAAGGTGATCGTAAGATAACCAATCTAGAAAAATCTTCCATCCACCACATCTATTTGAATGTTATAAATGAAGAAGGGAAAGCATGTAGAAATGAACTCCTGAGCCAAATGCAAAAATCACTAAACCATAAAACATATTTTCATGTGCTGTATTGACAGTACATGGATGAGAATGCTGACATTGATGTCAGACAGCGACATTATCAACATTTGATGTGGGTGTATTGATACCGTAAGGTATGAGATACATTTTTATCAATATTTAATCTAGCCTATATGTATAATAAGCAAGAGAAACCTGTCAAGTTCACAAGGTACGACATTTCCTCAAAACAATGAACCATAAGTACACAGTAGCGCTAAAACATTTACACTGTCACTCAGATGAATTTGAATGTTGCAAATAAGTTCCCTGCAGTATTCAATACTTCAGTAGTTGGTGAGAGTTTGTTTAACGATAGCCGCACAATGCGGTGCGGGTCTATGTCCTGCTCTCTGCCCTTCCTCATGAAAGTAATTTATTTTATTATTTTATTACTTTTTGCAGTGTCGTATATCTACAGTATATAGAGCAGAGGTCACCTACGTGGTGCCCGTGGGGACCACACCAATAGTCCGCCAGTGCTAGGATTGTGATTTGCTAGTAGAAATTATGATTTAAAAATGCAAACACGAGCAGTATTGTGAGACATCTTTAAGATGATTAGAGCCTGAAAATTAAAATCATTAAGTATTAAAAATAACATTCTAATATTATTAAATGTAATTTGTACAAATGTTATTTCAGACGTGTATCACTTTGGTAGCCCTTTAATCAATCAGGACACATGAAGTAGCTCTCACTCTCAAAAAGGTTGGTGACCCGATATAGAGCGTGTCTTACTGTCCCACAATCCCTGGTCGAGCATATTTCAGCAACGGTTTCAATTCAACTTTGGTGATGTGGCCAGTTTTGACTCCCTCCATGGAACAACTGCGTCCTCAAGCGGTCAAAGTGGAGAACGACAAGCAACGCAGGCAAGACGCGCGTGCGCGCACACACACACTCGCATACGCGTGCACACACACAATAAACTTTGTTTTAATTATTAATATTCTAACATAATATTCAGCATTGATTTCTGCATGGTTGTTTAGTCTAGTGATTAAAATGTCCTTAATAATGTGTCACTTGATAACGAGTAGAATAGGGAATTTTTGAACTGGACCGTGTCCAGTGCTCGTCCGACTTGTGTACTCTCTTTTTCAGTGGGCGATCCTGTGGGCGGGAACTGGGATTCTCGACTCTCGCAATGGCTGCTGCTGCAGCGTGGGCTCGTCGTGCACCGAGGTTCGCGACCGTGGTGGACTCTGTGGGGAAATGCAAAGCCTACACACATACCGGATTCAAATCACACTATGATGCCCTGGTCATTGGTGGAGGTGAGGTCTGAGGAATTTTGGTTTAGTTGGGCTTTGCGACATTTAATGCAACGTTTTTATATAACCCTACAGCAAATCCAATGCACGACTAGTCTTTTTTTTTTTTTTTTTTTGCAATATTGTCTTGTGGCAAACAAGCTCTTTGTTTTATGTGTGACTTTGTGTGAACGCTTTGCAAAGTTAAGCTCCAACTTGACTAGTGTGGATCACTTTAACTTTGGGCTGAATTGAAATGGATTGGAAAACAACTTGTGGAGCTTTATTTTATACACTCGCGAGTGTATATGCTAACTTAATTCTGTTTGTCATTTTTTTTTTCTTTATGTCACAGGACACAATGGACTGGTGTCAGTGAGTTCACATTTTCCCCTTAACACTATTGTGGCCCTTGTGATTCTGGGTCAAAGGTACTATTTGTGTGTGTGTGTGTGTGTGTGTGTGTGTGTGTGTGTGTGTGTGTGTGTGTGCGTGCGCGTGTGGGTGTGTCTCTCACGTAAGGCTGCCTACCTTCAAAAGGGAGGTATACAGACAGCAGTGCTGGAGCGCAGACACGTGCTGGGAGGTGCAGCAGTGACAGAAGAGATCTTTCCCGGTAAGACGCCTCCGTCATCTGTGCAGAGGATCCTCGGCTGCATTCTGGATTGTGTAATGTCCAGTAAGCATACGTTTGGTCTGCGTGAAATACCACTTTTGTGCATTGCAGGTTTCCACTTCTCCAGATGCTCCTATCTGCTTAGCTTATTACGGCCGCACATTCATGCAGACTTGGAGCTGAAGGTAAACAACGCAGGCTTAAAAAAATCAAGCGATACTGTATTTTATTGAACGACCCGATGTGTCTTGGATTCTCAGAAACATGGGCTGAAAGTGTATATGAGGGATCCAAATGCTTTCACCCCCATGTTGGAGGAAGGGTTAAGAGGTGGCCCACCAAGATCACTTACACTAGGCTCGGATCTTGCTGAGAACCAGAGGGAGATTGGCAGATTTTCCCAAAAAGATGCAAAGGTGATTCAAGCATTATGAAGAATGCATGCTTTGTTTTATTTACATACCCCACTGCATATTAATCAGCTTGAAACTTCTCTGCAACCAGGCTTTTTCAGACTTTGTTTTGCACCTTGAGAAGCTAGCAGGCGCTATCCACCCACTACTGGATGCCCCTCCTGTTGACATTCCAGGTGTCACAACTGGTTCATTGAAGAGGAGGCTGGCTGCTGCTAAAACACTGAAGCCTGTTGTCAAATGCGGTCTGTGGCATCCCTTGGAAATCCTTTTAAACATAGATGTCACAAAAATGAGTCACCGTTTGTGTGTGTGTGTGTGTGTGTGTGTGTGTGTGTGTGTGTGTGTGTGTGTGTGTGTGTGTGTGTGTGTGTGTATATTTTTTTTGTCTCACTTTT